CCTTTGGATGCAAGACAAACTCCTGTTGAAGGTTTGGTCCTTTTTCGATTTGCTGAATTCCATTACATTCTAGGAAGAAGTTGTAACTCGAATATGTGCGATCTTACCGCAAATCAAAAACCACACTGTTTTGATTTACTACGTCAACGCGATGTTTGAAACACTGGCTCGTGAGTGGGATCGTTTGGATAACTGGCGTGTGGACAAATTTATGTTGGTATGTCGCATTGTTCATACGTATTCTCAATGTCGTACAAGTTAACCAGAGACTTTTTCAAAATTGGACTACAAATGATGCCAGATATAAGTGAGGAAATGTGGGACACGTTTCTTTTGGCAATATTTGAGAAGGTTCTGAACAAAGATGTGCAACACGCGATCGGGTTAAAGCTACATGTTTGTACCGTGTTGGGAGAAGAGCTTGCAAAAAAGGTGCGTTCCCGCCTATCTTATATATGTTTCTCTTTTTTTATGATTCTCCAGAAGGTCAAGTCAATCTGTATTGTTGCAACCCTGTTGCATTTGGTCAATCGATTGAAAGATCTACCAAAGTGAGATTGTTCCAAACTTCGAATCATTCTATCTCTTATAGGCATCACAGCTACGCTCATACCTTACTCCGTCTCATCTTTACTCTCATTCGGTTTTTGAAAAGACGCGCCAATGTGAGTTTACCATGTAGTCCCCAATGACCGTCGTCTTATTCAGCCTCAGCTAGATAGTTTAATCAAATGTGCGAGCCAGTATACAAAGCAACGTGGTGGTCATAGAAAATCCTTCGTACGGATAGTAAACATGTAAGTTCTGATCTGTTTTGACCTCATCAACCTGTGTTTGATCAGTCTTACTTCGATTCGTGATAGCAAACTGGCCAAACAGAAAGCACTCAAGTCAGATAAGACGAAAGGGAAAACGAAACAAACGGTAAATGTAGTTCTTGTAATTGCCGAATATTTTCCGTAGGAGACACCTGCTGTCACACCCATGGAAACCGATGAGACTGTAACGGCGAATGTGAAACCGAAAACTTCCAAGGTAATGTCTAACAACAGCAATAACCATCTATCTGTTGTCTGCAGTTGAAACGGAAAAAAACAGAAAAAACATCTCCGAAAAAGATCAAAAAGCAGCGAATAACTCCCAAAGTAATTCAGTTATCTTTACGCTTCTATGAAATAAATTTACCAGACACCTGCAGATGTAGTCTCCAACGGAATGATTCCAAGTTCCGACCCGATCCCGATTGATTCGAAAGTGACAGAGAACGACCCGTCTCCTAAAGAAGAGAAAATACCCGAGGAAAAGCCCCAACTGGAGAATATCAATGCACTTCACGTTTCGCCTGTCAGTGCTTCGCCGCAGGAGACGCTTGATGTTGTCTGTGATGAACAGATGGAAGCACAGAGCACCGTAATGGAGACAGTTGTTGCANATCTTCCGGTCAGCGTCACGTTTCGTTCGGGAAAGTGTTTCGCAAAAGTATGCCCTAATCGTGTTTGTTCATGCATCACAAACTCGCTTTCAGAGTTCAAATCTACGCAACGCCTTTCTATGACACCGACGGCTAAGACAACGCCGTCCAAAGGAATTTTAAGAGGTGAGTTTTATATCACATTATCTTCACGTGTTTCCTCTGCAGAACAATCATCGTCAGGAACCAAAAGCCGCCTATCCCTCTGAACCATAATTGCAAAATTTGTATATCCTCGTGAACTTTGTAAAGTTGTGATAAATGCTTATGAGAATTTGGGTACATTTTATGACCAACTACTGGGGATGGATTTTCAGTTTTATTATCAAATTATTCCATTATCCGTGCTCGATAATTCAGGCATATTCTTGATATCTTTGTCAGCCCACTTTCGAGACCTACTGCTTGCAACAGCGGCTGTGATAAAAATAAGCGACTGATGGGGTAAGGAAGTCACGGTAGCCAGTTGGCCACTATCCCCATCGTTTCTGGACTGGGAACGAGCCCAAGGTTTGCCTGGTTTAGACAAAGGCACCTCTGGTGCGCACAGTGTGACGAATGATGAAAGTATGCGAAGGTAAAGCGACCCGACAAAGAAAGTTGGTTGTATCACCTTCAAGCCGCTTTTATCTAGCTAGATGTCCGGGGGAGAAAAAAGAAACTTAGATAGGGGCTTCAGGAAAAAGGGCAATACAGAAGAAAAAGTGAATCCACTTAGGGCTAATGTTTCAGTTACCCAGGGTTGACAGCACAATAGAAAATGATGAGTCCATGAAGGCTGATAATGGGTTGTTTGGATCTCGGTAATAGCTTGGAACGTGGGATCTGTTTGTCCCTTGAGTTGAACCTTGTCTCTTGCTACGGAACCCTAACCGGTGTCGAAAGAAATCCGGAAGGAATTCGCGCTAACACTCTAGAAGATAATAATGTTGACAAGGGTATGTCTCGAACCATCGCAGAACTCAGAGGAGGGAATAGAAGATCAAAAAATGTACTAGTCGCTCGGACATTAAGTCCCAAGATCCCGATAAAGTGATTGCAAAACAATAGGAAGACCCAGATGAATCGTATATCAACGCTCGAAGTATTAGGGAAAATCAGAGTGGTTGTTGGGGGGGGGAGGGAGGAACTGAAGACGAGCTCAAAATTTGGTGATAGCCTTCACCGAGACATGCACGCAATGTGCATGGGCAAGGCAAGTAAATTTACTTTGGCAGTTTCAAATGAATTCGACCAATCGCATTCTGCTGCGAGCCTCCCACAATGATTGGTGCTTCGGTCGTCACACATCAACGAAGCGAGCGGGTTTATAGGTTCTGTCGGAGTGAGTCGAAAGTTTCATGTATGCACTTGTTCAGTGGTGCTCATGATCAAATAAACATACCGTGATCGAAGTGAAGTGATGGCTTGTACACGCCTTTGACCCAGCCAGCTACGCACGGTGGCTTTTATCAAATTCAAAGATTCTGTCATGCTTGAAAGGTCAAACAAATTGCAGTCTCCAAGTTGGGAGCTCAACTCTAATTTGTATTTCGGTCGTCTTAATTGTTGGAGTAATTGGTCTAACTAACCGGGCTTCCACTTCGCTTTACCCACTGCCTCGCGGCTAGGTTCTTGACAGAACAAAAAAGGCTTTGATTAAGAACTTTAACTGTTTTCCTACCTTGTGGCTGTGCACATTGGCAGTACCTGTCCATCAAACCCAACCGCATACACAAACTAAAAGATAATCCTACACTGCATCGGTCGTCACGCAGGATAATCCGGTGGCACTACCGATTGTATCGAACTGGTGGGTAATGATAAGTGTGCTACTGCTCAGACATCCCAACCCTTTTTTGCTTATCAGTTTTCTTTGGCCATTCTACCGACTCGTAACATTCTAAAGCACTTGTTCGTCACTCTCTACCTAAGGGCACTGCAAGTAATTTATCCCCGAATTAATTTCAGGCTCTAAAGCCTCGTCAGTCATTGAGTTTGTGGCCTTCAGAGTGAGGACTCTAACGCAGGTAGATCGATAAGTGTGTCTTGCTTGCGGTCAATGGAAGACTAATACATGGTCCTAGCCGTATACTTTTTCAACTTCAAGTGAATCCAACCAATCGCACTTCATTGGGAACCCCACAAGATGATTGGTCTTTTGGCCGTCAAACGTCACCAATTGGACCGGGTCTGTCTAAACTCCGTCTGGTTCGAATGAACTCACTTCTCTGTAAACAAACAAAAGTATTTTTTGAGTGAGTTAGCGAGCGAGGGTGAAATATTCCGTGGCGTGGGCTGTTCGCCCCACCCGGGGACGTTATGTTCATGCTTATTGATCGAGTGTGCGTCATAAACGCGAATGAACGAACCCGGCGGCAATCGACCTTTGTCGGCCATGTAACGAAGTGAATCACGTCGAGATGGATCGTTAAATCGGTCACCATACACACGTGAATGTTTGGATGAACCGCTGCATGAGTGGATCCAGTCTAGACCCTCAATAACCCATCGAGTAAATTCTAGTGGTGCCGTTATTTCCTCAACTAACACCGATTCCTTTGAATCAAATGCGATTTTCTACGTATTTCTGGCATTGAAATGCACATTTGACAATGGTACAAGGATACAGTAAAAGAATTTACGGTGTTTCACCTGAATAGTAAGACCAAATTGAAACTTATTCTGTCATTCCCGGGTTGAGTAATACATTTAATCCATAATGCCAATGATAACAATCTGTTGTCTGCAGTTCCTCCCTTTGCTACTCACCTTCATTGCATAAGTTCTTATCTTTAATACACCGTTGATCAACCCATCGCATCTTTTCACAGCTTGATTACATCTGTGCGATCTTTATAGTTAAGTGAATGAGACAGGTGATAAGAATGGGTTACAGTTATCCATGATTTCACAAACGACGATAACCCTGTAATGGGTGCTCCATGGGGTATTAAGTATCGGTAAGTAAAGTATCCTACCCACGGCTGTCTTACTACTGATCGGCAACTTTCTTATGCTTGAGGAAGAGTTAACTCTAATGACGAATTCATTAATAATCCGGGAAATATGTTACAAGGTGGCATCCGTGGTGTTACTGAGTGTGGGATAAGAGAGCAAGTTCCTTGGCACCGCGGATGCCAGTTTGCAACGCATCTCCCGGATAGGTGGTACCACGAAGGACGGTGGAAAGCAGTGACATTTGTTCCCCGAACTGAGCTTTTTTACATTATTACTCAACTCCGCCATCGTCACTGGCGCATTCCTTAACATATTTGTTCCACTCTGAAACGCTCCCGTTTGTAGAAGATGGTGCATTTTTCCACGGATAAAATTGTCTGTTTTTACCTTAACGGATTGAGACGGTTGATTTGTTCGTACTGTTTCCGAAAACTTAAACTTGATGCGTTCAGCCAGGCCAAGTCTGTGTCATCTTGTGCGTAAAAATCGCCTGTGAGTACAACTATTTCAGAGCTTCAGCTCAACCGAATGAGTTCGGTGAGTATATAATAAACCTCATCTTTTTGTGCGTCGGAACTGCAGTT